TCCTCAGCTCTCAGTCACACTGTGAGAGGTGACAAGGCTCCTCAGCTCTCAGTCACACTGTGTGAGAGGTGACAAGGCTCCTCGGCTCTCAGTCACACTGTAGACAGGTGACAAGTCTCCTCAGCTCTCAGTCACACTGTAGACAGGTGACAAGTCTCCTAAGCTCTCAGTCACACTATGTGAGAGGTGACAAGGCTCCTCAGCTCTCAGTCACACTGTGTGAGAGGTGACAAGTCTCCTCAGCTCTCAGTCACACTGTGTGAGAGGTGACAAGTCTCCTCAGCTCTCAGTCACACTGTGTGAGAGGTGACAAGGTTCCTCAGCTCTCAGTCACACTGTGTGAGAGGTGACAAGGCTCATCAACTCTCAGTCACACTGTGTGAGAGGTGACAAAGCTCCTCAGCTCTCAGTCACACTGTAGACAGGTGACAAGGTTCCCCAGCTCTCAGCCACACTGTGTGAGAGGTGACAAGTCTCCTCAGCTCTCAGTCACACTGTTGACAGGTGACAAGTCTCCTCAGCTCTCAGTCATACTGTGTGAGAGGTGACAAGGCCCCCTCAGCTCTCTGTGGCTGAGTGCCCGGAGGTCACGACTCCTCTGCATCTCTCACACCCTGGTTCTCTGTGGGAAACTGCTCGGTTTGGGAGGAGATGGCACCATCCACTTGAATTCTGGGATAAACAAACTGCATTCCACCCTCTAGACACAGAGACTGATTTAGAGACAGGCATGTTTCCTGAGCTAGTTCCAAGGACCATTAGGGAACAATTATCCTGTGTTTCCCACTAGATGTCCATGAGAACGGGCTGTAAGCCTAAGCCTGAACCTGGTGAGGGTTCCCAGGAGAACCTTCCCAGAGAAGAGCAGAGGCAAGGGATGAATATACTTAATGTGACTGACATTGTTTGAACTCCTGAATTCAACCATGCCTGAAGCCCTAGTCTGAGGTTGGTAGGTTGACTGGTTGGGAGGAAGTCACCTGCAAGCAAAAGGGACTAATACAAAGGCAACCCACCTTCAACTAGAGAGATTATGCTTTACTTTACTGTTTCATGTAATAAGTTTGCTCCAAATTAAAAAATTTGAGAGCCTAAGTCCAATTCTCATTTTACATGAGGAAACCATGGTTCCAGAGGGAAGAAGTGACTCACCCAATATCACTCAGTAAGTTAGACCCACACAGGGGCCAGGACCTTGTCTCCTGAGCCCTAAACAAATCCCCTTCCCCAGCCTGTATGTGGAAATGAGCCTTGTCTTCTCCACAGGGAAGAATCTAATAATCTCTGTGAAGCAATGGGGACAGGTTGGAGGGAAAAAGCAGCCAGGTAGGGACCACTTGGAAAGAGCATGTGGGGAGTAGCCTGTGTCCTGTGTGTCAAAGCCTGTGCCACATCCCTGCACCCCCAGCCCCTGTGTTTGCACCACACCTGCTTCAGGCTACTTACCTGTTATGTCTGGCCGGTCATCTATGAGGAGGTCGGCAGAGATCACTGTCTTGTCTCTAGTCAGCACAACATGCTCCAGAAAGTCGGGGCCGAAGTGCTTCTCCACCCAGGCATACTAGAATACGAGCAGATGAGGAAGGGGGGTCAGAAGGAAGGGTACCACACCTGGGAACAGACAGAGCACTGGATGCGAGCCTGGGCATGCTGGGCTAGAGGCTGAAGACTTCTCCTGAGATCTGAGACCTAGCACAGGACAGGAGGGTCTAACACTGGGGGTCACTCTGGGCAGATATGAGGCTTTGAAAGCAGAGGAAACGGATGTTCAGAGGGAAAGCAGCAGAATCATGATTCAAACCCAGACCTACCCCTCCTCATCATCTCAAATGCCATTCAGCACTATCTAAACCATCACATTCAATCCCAATTCAAAAGAACAGTATTTGCCATAATACCGGATTCAACTGATGGACTCGGTGTTGGAAGCAGCAAATATTTAGTAGCTTCCTAATGTGTGCAATGCACTCTATTTAAGTTTTGTTGTTGTTGTTGTTAAGTGCCATTGAGTCAGTTCCAGCCCATAGCAACCCTATACAGGGTTTCCAAGGAGCAGCTGGTGAGCTTGAACCATCAACCCTGCGGTTCAAACTGACTTTACGGTCCAAGGCACTAAGTCCACAGCGCCACATCAGGACTCCCTGTAGGTATTAGGGACAAGATGAAAGTGCTACAGAACAGCAGCACATGGGACCTTGCAGAATGGGTACTCAGGAGAGCCTGGCCCTATCCAGGGACAGACAGTCAAGGCAGCAACATTGAAAGCCCATCTAACAGGTGAGAAAGAGCATTCAAGCAGATGGCGTGTACACGTTCTAAGGGATACAGGAAGAGGGCATGGGTGAGGAGCTAACAGAAAGCTAATATGGTTGGACTGCAGTGCTTAGGCAAGGGAAGGAGTGCTGGGTGGAGGGCAGCTTAGGCCTCCCAGGCTAGGCAGAGGGCCAGCCCTGTCACCTGGCTGCCAGCATCTGTTCTCCTCTCCTAATGATACCCTCCTAGGAACTCAATTTTCTCATGAGTAAAAGAGGGATCCACCATTGTCTGTCAGTTTGTGATTGATGCTGTGGTGGCTTGCATGATGCTATCATGCTAGAAGCGATGGCACCAGTAATTCAAATACTAGCAGGGCCACCCATAGTGGACAGCTTTCAGCAGAGCTTCTGGAGTAGGGCCAGGAAGAAAGGTCAGGTGATCGACTTCTAAAAACTAGCCAATGAAAGTCCTATGGAGAATGGTCGAATAGGGAGAAGTGTGGTGCAGACCTCCACCAGCAATACCACAGAATACTGGGGGAAGCAGGTTCAGGGATGGTCCCAGATTTATTGAGAAAGTTCTACAGCTTACAGCCAGTGAGAAGGAGCAAGAAAGGTTGTGTTTCCTGATCTGCAGCTCCCAGCCACTTACAGAGTGGCCATCTTGGGTATGACGCAGCAGGTGAAGGATCAGAGGAGTGCTTCCACCACAGAGGTATGATCCTCAGAGATCAAGGTGTGGACATTTTTTTTCTGTTCATTGGTCTCTCACTGTCTGCGTATCTTTACTCCAGTGACGAGAGGGGCTGCCTGAGTGAGAAGACACCCCCCATACCCCAGAGGGTTCTACTACGCATGCACACAGACCTGCTCAACAAAGTCACTGCACGTAGAAGCTAAGAAGTGGGAAGACACTGCTTAAAACCAGAATAGTCTCCCAAAACAGCTAAGCCAGCCCTGAACTGTTTATCACTAGGAAAAAGGCCTGAGCAGAGGTTGTGGAGTGGGAGAGAGACAGACTAAAAAGGAAACAGGCCAAAATTAAATCCTGAGTTACATCATAAAGGGCAGACTTTGGAACTGCCTGAGATGGAATTCAGGAGAGTGATACTGAGGTGCATCCAAATGCTCCACAGAGGGGTTGAGAAAAATAAGGAAGAAGTCAGGAAAGGGCTATGGGAGTAATCAAATAAGATAGATACAGCACTGGAAACAATTCAACACCTACAAAAAGAGGTACACCAGCAACAGTAACATCTTGAAATTTCTCAGGTGGTCTTCATCACAAGAAGCCAAGACAGGGCCGTTAAAGTCATACTCATATTTTGCTACACATTTTTAAACAATTTTCTTGTATGCAATTATACACTGTAGTATCCAATCTGTTTGTTTTGTTTTTTGCTGTTACGATTTTGTTTGTTAGTCCCCCTTTTACCTCTAGAGGGCTCTTTCTCATCCTACATTCCCAAGAGACAGCCAACTGTGGTCATATAACCAAGTTACAATCACACCCTGTAAAATCCCACCATCCAGGCAAGAACAAACACCAGCTGCATACACCAGACAGACAGCCAACACCTGCTACAGATACTCTGAGTTGAGTAATAAGAAAAGTAAAAAGGGAATCCCATCTCCTGATCACATCTACCTGGAGGTAATCAGAGCTCAGTAATATATCAGCATACATTCATCTAATTATTGAAAACAAACATAAGTATTGAAGATGCCCAAAAAACAACTGACCATTTCAGCACATGTCCAGAAACAAAATAGAGTAAGTAACCGAGACAAATGAGCTGGAGGTAGACCTAGACTTCCCACTGGAAGGAGGGCAGACTTTGGAACTGCCTGAGAAGGAATTCAGGAGAGTGATACTGAGGTGCATCCAAATGCTCCACAGAGGGGTTGAGAAAAATAAGGAAGAAGTCAGGAAAGGGCTACAGGAGTAATCAAATAAGATAGATACAGCACTGGAAACAATTCAACACCTGCAAAAAGAGGTACAAAAAATTAATAAAACATAAAAAATGAACAATACACTGAAAGGGCAAAGGAGAAGAACTGAAGATATGGAAGCCAGAACCAGCAAGCCGGAAGAGAAAAGTGGGGAGTAGTTAACCTTACAGTCCAGTAATAGAGGACCCTAGGACCATCAAGGGAGAAAAGCAAGAGCAGAATGTGGGACCCTATCCAGAGAAATAGCTACACCAGATGTGAAGGCAGAGATGAGGACATGGTGAGATTCAGCAGCTAAAGTTTCTAGACTCCATTAAAGAGAAAGGCTGTATGCTGGCAGCCAGGAGGCAGCCTTGCACAATGTGCCCTTTGGTTGTTTAAATGATTATATATTCCTGAGTGTTTTTGTGTACATCCCCCCGCCCCCTCCAAAAAAACACACAAAAAAACCAGAGGGACTAGAAGCTAATACTGTTGAATGACAATACATGGAGGAGATTGTAATCATCGCAATGAATCAATGAGTGTAAAACTGATATTTTCCCATGTAAACTATCACTCAATTCACAATAAAAACTTTAATAAAAAAATCCTATGGACCACAACAAAACCTTGTGTGACACATTTGATTTGGACACATTACCCTAAAGAGCAAATTATATCCCACCTTCATTGCTAACTATGAATACGATCTCCACAATGTATTGTTGCTGTTGTTGTTATGTGCCGTGGAGTCAATTCCGACTCGTAGCGACCCTGTACAGGGTTTCTGAGGCTGTAAATCTTTACAGGAGCAGAAAGCCTCCTCTTTCTCCCACGGAACAGCTGGTAGTTTAGGTTGATCCATTTCTCCCCTTCCCTCTTCTCCATCCTCACTGACATCTATTCATACAGCACTCCCTTTCTGGAACTAAACCAGAACTCACAAGTTCGATGGACACACTCCTTCAGACACAGTCCTACTTGGCTCTCATTGCCCCAAAATTTCATTAATTCATTGAAACAACTCACAAAGAGTTAAAATAGCAGATTTATTACAACCCAAGAGAGCACAAAGAAAAAGATGCATAGCATGAGGGATCTGAAAAAGTCCCCAATACAGTTGTTTCCATGTCCCCAAGGACACACAACCCTCCCAAGAGTAGATGTTCTCGCCAACCAGCAAGCTCACCTGAGCCTCCCTGGTCCAATGAGCCTCCCTGGTCCAGACTCTTTGTTAGCCTCCACACATGGCCATGATAGATACATCTAGCTTCCTGAGGCCAGTCATCACTGGATCACCAGGTGGTCCTTTTTGGTCTGTACACCTCCCATTCATTAGCCTTAAGTGTGGGCTAGCTCTCAAGAACCAGGACTAAAGGCCAACGTGCTTTCTGCATCTCACATCAGAGGGATCAATTGCTAGAGGAGGACATCATATTTGGTGAGGCAGAGGGTCAGCAAGAGACAATACACACGAGAATACGAGGATGAACTCAAACATACAACGATCATGAAGATGATGCAGGACCAAGTCATGTTTGTTCTGTTGTGCATGGATCATCATTAAGTCAGAGCCAACTCTACAGCAGTCATATATCCATCCATCCATCCATCCATCCATCCACCCACTCATCCACCCAACATCCATTTATCCATCCATCCACCCACCATCCATGTCTAAGACGGATGAGGACACGATCACTATTTTTCTGGTTTGAAAAGGCAATAGGCTAATAAAGCTTTTTCCATGAATTTAACTCTTATAAACAACCCTATGAAGTAAGCACACGTCTAATCAAGTTTACAAGAAGTAGAAACACGTCCAAGTTGGCTAGGCAAAGTCAAGATGGGAACCCATTACAATACACTGCCCAAGACTCCGTCCAACTTGATCATCTGTAGGAGACACCAGGGAATAACAGGTTCACAGTCAGCTTCACATGTGCTATTTCCTCCGACTGTAATATGCTGTTAGTGTTCCTTCACACATAAGACACATACATGCATACAGACATACCTGGATATACAGACACACACAGAGAGACAAAAAGATAAGATGCCTACACTCACACACACACACACACACACACACCCTTACTCCAACCTAGCTAACTCCTGTTCTTTCTAAAGGTATCATTTCCTCAGCCTTCCCTGATTTAGTACACTCTGTTTTTCTCTACCACTTTCCACAACTGTAGCTATGTATTTGTAGAATCACTTATTTGCATAAGGTTGCTATGAGTTGGTACCGACTCAATGGCACCTAACAACAACATTAGACTGAAAGTTCCTTAAGGATAGGGATCATGTCTCAATACTTGTGGAAATAAGCCAGTCCATGGAGGCACAGCCTTGCCCAAAGGAAAGG